AGCTTGAGAACTGATGTTTTGGCCTGGGATGACCAGCCAGATACGGGATCATGTCTCCAACTGCTTAGCATGTCGAACATACGACGTCCGCCAGCGGAAGGAGCGCATGACGCTTCGTAAAGTTCCGCAGAGATCGTGGCAGAAAGTAGCTTTGGACATCTTCAATCATGAAAGGAAGAATTGCATGATCATAGTCAATTATTTCAGAGTAAGGTTGGAAGTTTGTGAGTAGGGTAAAGTTTGTAGAAAGTAGAAGTCATGATTAAAATTCACGCACAATAATGTGCGTGAATTTTAATCATGACTTCTGCTTTCTACAAATTTAACCCTACTCACAAATTTCCAACCTTAATCTACCATCGCCCCTTAGACATTTGAAGGACAGGTACTTCGGTCCATTGGGAAGTGACGTATGAGTGAGCCAATCTGCAACAACAGGATAGGTACTGTGAGCCCATTGGTAATACGTCGCGCACCAAGCAGAAGTCATGTGTTAAAATTTGCGCACCTAATCGTCAGCCCTCGGTAGCTCAAATGGTAGAGTAGCGGACCGGAAATTCGTGGACCGGGGTTCGACTCCCCGTCGAGGCAAATTATTGTGCGTGAATTTTAAAATTGATGACTTCTACTTTCTACAAAATTATTTCAGAGACTATTTCGAGATCCATGCCTTCACGTCTATCAGCACGCAGGCCGTGATCAACAAGCTAAGATCCCAGTTTGCTCGACATGAAATACCGGAAGTGGTTTCCAACAATGGCCCCAATTCAGTAGCGTAGTTTCGAAATTTCGGCAAAAAGTGGGATTTCTTTACCGAATGACCAGTTCCTATCATAGCCAATTAAACGGAAAGGTTGAGTCAGCCGTCAAGGAGGCAAAGGAAGTGCTCAGCAAGGAAGATCCTTACCTCATGTTGCTGTAAAGACGGAACACGCCGACTGACGAAATGGGAACAAGTCTAGCCCAACGGCGGGTCAACCGAAGAACAAGAATGCTGTTACTTGTAGCAAAGACTCTATTACAACCAGAAATAGCAGCGAACAGCCTGCTGCAAGATCGTCTGCATAGGAGACTGATGCGACAAAAGAAATATTACGATCGAGGATTAAAACAACTCCCACCCCTAGTGTTTCGGGACAAAGTATGAGTTGAACCGGTTCCGGGAACTGACGGGCGTTGGAGGAGGGGGTGAATCGTAGGTCGTAAGGTAGAGCGAAGCTACGAAGTAAGTCTCGGGAATAATGTCATTCGGCGCAACCGAGAAGGCAACGGGGCGAGCACACGCAACATCGTGCGGAGCAACCACCTCAGCAGAACATTCCGGCGAACACGGCAGCCAAAAACAAAAAGACCACACGCAGTGGAAGGCACACGCGACACGAGAACTCCAAAAAAGGGAAGATGTAATGGTGACTGAAAACTAGGGTGGAAGAAAGCGCCTACCCAAGTGTGTGCGATCAAAGGAGTTAAGGAGTTTTCAAATAACTGCTAAGTGTACAAAGTCTCCGAGTTGTGAATGGAACGCTCGTGCGCTGTCCCGTTGTGTTTTTTCTGTTGACGCCACTGGGTAACCCAAGCTCGCAACACAAGCAATCGACTTATTTACCGAGCTGAAGATTGTGTGCAACAATTGACTTCAACCGGGGTAGAATCAATGTCGACCGTAAACAACGAAGTCGTTCTTCAGCTGATAAAAATAATCACATCGTACTTGAGACGGTATACGCTGTGGGTGCTGTCGCCGTCGTCTTTAGAAATTGAGGTCTGTATTATATTCACGTGGCGGATGCCGAGATTAACCCAACCTGTTCAAGGGAATGACCTTGGATTCCCTTTTTAGAAGACATCACTTATATAGAGTTACCTCATGTTTAATATAAACCACTGATCAAATATGTGAAGAAAAGATATGCTGGAGATAGGTCAAAGTTCATAGTAACCGTTCACAAAGCGGTTCAACGTGGTCAGACGCGAGACTAATCACTGTCGAGTTCATGGAGATAAAACCGCTCCAATTGATGGAGCCACTTTCTCTAGCATCACCGATGAATGGCAGACAGAATGGGTATTTTGGCATACGTGGAAAATACCACGATCATTCTAGACACGCAGTGCTTCCTCAACCACCTAAAAAGCCTCAAAAATGTGTGTATCAATCTGCTGGCTTGACATAATCACGGCTCGCATATTAATGGTTGATTCACGTAGACGCACTCCCAATGGTATAGAATTGCATAAGACCTGGGATATGTAAGACGACCTATTTATCACAACCGGCCCCAGGGTACCCTAAACGTTCTAAGCAAGCTGTTGCAGCTCAACAAGGATCTTGACAATAGTCATCTTGGAGTAGTCTTAATAAGGGGTAGGAAAGAGGCACTTCTCTGTGGATGAAAATGTGGGTGCCATTTTGAGGTTGGACATTACTGGAGCCACTGAGGCGTTGTTGGACTACTTTACTTCACATGTTTTCAAGGCTCGTTGGATCTTTGTCTGCGTGTGTTTCTCCCCTAGGAGGACCTTCACAACGCCGGTTTACTTGTGATCCTCCATGGCTATGAGAGCTACTCTGTCTGCGTTCCTGATTTTCGCGGGTTGATTTCCAATGTTCATCGCAGTTGTATAATGGTTTCGTAAGAATGACGCACCTATCCGACGCATCTTTGGATGTGGTGAGGGATTTGGCTGTTATAAAAAGGGAGGTAGCTGCAATACGCCAGCACACCGTACCGACACATCGCTGCCATGCGACCACTAACAGTCGCCTGAGAGCTGGGTATACCGCGAGGTCCCCCGTAACTGCGTGGATTTGAACTGGTTGCCTCAGGAGTACAATGCGAAGATGAAACCCATTCAGCCACCGACCGACCTGTTAACTAATGGGAGTCTGCTTCACATGCCAACTCAGGTTTTTTTGTTATAGTTCTCTCGGCGCTTTTTCGCCTTAGAACCTCTATTGATTCATCTATGTCTGAAACGTTTCATATAATCAGAACTCTTCATAACCTCAGAGTTAAATTGCCTTTTAATACCCCGTACTGTAACAGTTAAGTTAATGACCTCTTGAAGTAACCCCATTGGTTATATTGCTCTCCTGACATCTTCTCTGGACTTCTGCAGAAAGCATACTTCGGGATGCGGCGAATTGTTTAGAGATTATTTTGATGCCGGTAATAATTTCTAAGGTATTAAATGACAAATCTCATCCAATGTACACTGAGTTTTTAAAAGTGCTCATCTTACACGCGTTCAAAATTGAACATGCCATTTTGTTGCATTCTATCGTATCATAATACTGTCTTGCTTTATCTATAGCGTTTGATCTAGCGAGTCATAGACATGCTGCGCGAGTGCTTGTTGGAGTGACAGTCGAGCATAAATTCCATTTTCCCCCCAGGTATGTATGTTATATTGATATCGAAGGCGGCTGATCGGCTTGCATGGTGCGGTCTGACCACGAAGACAGTTACTGAGGTGCAGGAGAAGTAACGGCAGGTGCGGAAGCGACAGGCACCGATGCGGTGTACTCCATCGACGTCGAGCGCATGGTGCTGTAGCATATTAGGACCAAAGAGTGGTTCTCTGCACATGCTTTGTGTGTGAAGCGGACTACGGTCCAGACACCGAATTCTGTGCGATTGATTCCCCAAGTACAGTGTGCTTGTGTTTGTCTGTGAAGGAGCGTGGGCCGGTTCCGTTGATGAAACATGGCTCCCATCACATGCCTCCCGGTCTTATCCTTTCGGGTTTACGCCGGATATAGGACGTATGGGTGGAACTGTGGGTGGTGCAACGCAAGCCACCCATGGTTCCCGTGTAGGCGCAGGCGTCCTGTGGCTGTCCCCGTGGGGGCCACAGTGATAGGCAAATCCGGATGACGCCAACCATTATCTAGTATGTCCACGAAGCTTATTTTAACTTGACTGACACGTGCCTAACTAGTTGGAAATTGGAACAGGATAACCTAAGACCGGCCTGAGCACTTGACAGAGATCGTTGACCTAAGAGACGATGGTGGAAGAGCGTTTGCGAGTCCCTAACCTATATCACAATTACCAGAAACATTTATGGCTCTGGGCTTTGTGAGACACGGATAACAACTGAGATCACTGGTGTATCTGATCCGGTCCCTTGAGCTGGGCTGTTTTTTCATCTACCACATTTGAATTTCGCTGTTGGTCTAGTAGTTAATACGTGATGGTGGAAACCGCTCACACGTCAGTCTAGCACTCCAGCTTCGGGTAGACTACAAACGCTTGCGTCCACTGAAGTCCACAGGTGCAGTGCTACACAGGAACTGCAATTCCGAAGGAATAAGACCGAGCGGCATGTGGATGAAAGTGACGACTGTATTGTAGCCGGCTAACACTCTCGTAACAAGTGCCGCCCATCTGTAACAGTCCGAATAGCATAGATCATGAAAAGATATATGAGATATATGTCACGAGAACACCCACTCATTTTGTGCACACGGCTCGCATCAGACGTCTGCAAAGTGTAGTGACCTAGTAGTCTGTATCCGTTTCAGCATGGGCTCGTCTAATTTACGAACCTCGGATATTCATCAAGCCAACCAAAAATCGGTCGATTAAACAGACGAAAAACTGAGAAAATTAGATTTCGAGGAGAGCAGTGGTGACATGACAATCGTACGTTAAGTCAACCACTGATCTGACACCTATTATGTCGGCATTTATGAAACGTCTTTTACACACTTTAGTCGTTGAAGAATGCAACTCATGAAAAGCGTTCAAGCTCATTGTTATAGCAGTTCGGACTCATCCAACTTGAAGTCGATTGACCGGCGACTTGGAAATGAAAGGGCTCAAGGTTATTAGGATTTTTAGAGGTGAACGTTCGCCAAGGTCATCGGTACAGGTCTATATTCAGAGCCGTTCCCAATGTAATCAATGCCGTATCTGTTGGGACCTTAGTGAGCACCGTTTGTGAAGTTGTAATAACTGCGTTTAACTATCATTGTCAATAAGAACGGCACCGGTGTCGTTTACTATCCAAACGGAATACTGTCAATTCGCAAGCATTTTGCGATTACCAGTAAAGAACAATCAGCATCAGAATCTTACTCGTTGGGCATTGTGTGTTTCAGTTCAAACAATGGTTGGTTGATACAAATGTATGGTGACGCAGCAACTGATTTGGTGTTGGGTCCCCGGTAACTCCCGACAGTGACCCGCCGCCGCTGGCTAGCCCATCTGTGAACGAAATCAGATTAGAGACCAGACAGCCCAAGGGAGCTGAGCGCATGTCGGAAGCGTGCAAAGAAAGAACAGTTAATTTTAAAAATACACAAAAAAACTAAGAGATGAGCAGGAAAGTAAAAACTCATACACCCGAACTCGGACGGAAGCACCCATAGGAAGATGGCTGAATAGGTGGTGGGGATTTGAGAGAAGAGAGCTCGAGAACACTGGGAGGGAGGAGCGGGCGCTAGCTCGGGTGAACACTAGAAAAGCTCTCACAGAGCCTAAATGCAGTTGCGCCTGAGTGTCGGTGGGTACAGACTATCTTAATATGAATGTGGTCTCGTCCTCTTGCTGATCTGAGTCGAAAGCTTCGGAATTACGGGACGAAGTTCTTTCGCTAGAACTTCGACTTCTGTCAGATATGGAGAATTTGAACTTTGTGTTACGTCTTCGTTCAGTAGTGGGTGTGGCCAAGTTGGAACGAGGGAGCAGAATCGCCTGTATAATTTCAGCATAATGAGGTCCAAACACATGGCGATTGTGGGTAAGGAGCGGAAATAGTCGGCTAGCTAAATTAGTTAGGCTCAAGCTCTCTGGTCCGTGTGGCCGTTTCGGAGATTTTTCATCACCCAAAGTGACTCCTTCTGGTGCGCCTATCCCTGATGTCACAGGACGAACTGCTGAGCTGGTAGCGCATTGCGAAGAACTAGGAGGGCATGTATGGGGGTTCACTGAAGGCGAAGTATGTGACCATCGTCCCAACTCGGAGAGTACGCTGAATCCCGGAGGAAGTGCTAACGATTCCGGTGGGTGGGAGGACAACGCAGCACGCAGAAACGTCAGGGCACGTTTTACTGCATAAAAAACAATGGAGACAAAAATGGATGAGAGATAATTCGTAAAATGATCGTCAGAAGAATGATGCCTACATGTGTTAGAGTGAGATGTTCGGCTAGAAAGTGGAGAAAGTACGGACATAAGAAGTTGCAATCCTGCACGTTAGGTGCGGTAGACTCTGCATTGCGATGAGAGAGGCAATTTTAAGTGACACGGACACAAAGTGAGCCACGTAAGCACTGTCTTACAAAGTCGAAATAAACGAGGCGAGTAAGAAATAAAGTCGACGAAGAAATCCGACCAGTTAACTGGTTTCAGAAAAATATTTACTTAGACAATAAATGTGTATGTGTGTTTTGGCAGCTTAGTTTTGGCATCGGAATGGATATTTATAGTCGGAGAAAGAACCACCTAGTTTGGTTAACTTGGAAGTAAACCCCGATCAGTTGTCATTGGGAATATATCAGAAATGAAGGATTCTGGGCGTTGTTAGCTTCGAGCACTGCGCCTCGGAACTGGTTTCGTCCTTGATTGGCCCATTAAGGTAGAAAGAGCCGGGGCTGGGGCTAGGACCTAGCATGTAGTAGCTGACGGCTGACGATCTGCTAACTAGGCCATTAGGTTCGGCGAGCAACGTATAGTCAATGACCACTGAGTAGAACTTGCTTAACGATGGTGACACGGTTTAGAACAATGCAAACGACAAAGCGTTAGAGCAAGGTCCTAGCACCAAACGGCAGACGGTTGCGTAGCGCACTCCGTATGCCTATTGACCACCTTCATCCGCGTACCGTTGGTGCGAACACCTAGGCAGAGTCCTGCTTGACCAGTCGATGGTGTGATAGAAATGGATAAGAGTATTGACCAAAAGAATTCTTCGGACTGGTACGTGCAACATTCTAGGATGGGGGCCCCGAGTTGAGCCACAGCAGATATTTTTCAGCAGTCTACGCATATATATGGAGAGAAAGGTACAGAGAAAGGTACAACTATTGTAAAATGAAGATCGAGTACCACACAAAACAATCTACCACTACCAGTTACCAAAATTGAAGTAAATAGTTGACTAAGGGGACGCCACTTCAATCCTTCGGCTGAATACCGTACTCGCAAGGCAATCGACCGAAGTCAGGGAACCATTCTCGATGGAATCCGGTGGCTATTAGCGCCTTCTGTAACAGATGAAACAGCTATATATTTTGGTGTTTCCCACCCGAAATCACCCATTTGCCATCACATCTTCGGTGCCTTTACCGCTTCACACTGTTTCTCCACTTCTTATTAGCTGGACTGAAACAATCATACCGCAGATAGACAGTGTTGGCAGCCGGGAACGCTGAAGCTCACTGTCAGTGTCGAATTTACTTCATCTCATCAGGTACAGACAGCTGGCACTCCAGCACAAGGTCTGGGATGTCGGGCGAAATGCATACTCTAAGCCACCGAGTCACGGCAGAAAACGCTTTTTACGAGGATTAATGGCCGATTGGGGTCCATTTCGGAGCACTGGTTGTATGATTGGATCACAAAGCGTCATCTCTCACCTGCGGAAAGGACATTTTACCCTTCCTGCACTTGCATCTACCGTGTCTCCAATTTTTGTCGCAGCTTCGCTCGCATATACTCATTCGATCAGGCTTGAGGGGCTCCTACCAATGTTCATATATCACGAAGCTACGCGCCACGGAGTATCTTCACCCTTTCATTTTCAACTTTTGCGTTTCTTTCTCTTAAAACATTCGCGTCAGATTCATTGGGCTTGCTTCCTACATCACGGATTCCGGCCATTTCTGGAAGCCCAAATTAAGGGCTCTTTAATAACGCTGCGTATACCCCTATCTGTGGCTGTATAAGGCAAATACAAGTGACTACATTCCATCTACGACCACTGCCCTCTTCGGCCAAGCACCGCTCATATAGGAAGTCGTCTAATAGTGACGCCGAAACTACACCTGCGTGCGATCGATAGCTCTCGTACTTCTACCTATCTAGCATTCCGATCGGTGGCCCTGACGTCCGCGTGCAGCTAAGTGACGCACGAATCTGATCTCAAGGCTAAGCCAGGATCGAGGACCGACGGAGGCAAAGTATGCAGATATCCCCCTGTCCCTATAACGAACGTGTGATTGTCGTCTGGATAAGGATCAGCCAAGCAAGGCGTAGTAGCTTTTGTGACAACAGACCTTTCAGAAGCCCAGAACTGAAATACCATTATACTACTAATAAATGAACGGTAGAGTTGCCTAGAGTGCGTTTGCATAGAGCTAGGGCCGTGTTTATTTCCATTTTTCTACCATTTGTGTTTTTTTAGCTCTTTCTATTGGTGATCGGTTTTTTTACTACAGGTAGTGGGTACAAACCTATTACCATATTCTGCGTATTTTTAACCTGACTACCCACTATTTTGACCGACAAGTAAGTGTCGATGTAGCCACCAGCCGGCAGAACTTCCCAGGCTGCATCGAATAGTTATTAATTGCTAGTGAATGGAGCAGTTGTTTAGAAGTTACAGACGTATTCATGGTGTTTTCCTCATGCTTAGCTCCTTTGTGCAAATTCGGCAATTTTTCGTGATGGTAGGGTTAACATCTTCGAGTTTGGTTGGTTAATTGATCGTTGTATAGCGTAGTTAGGACCTCTGACAACTAGTTTCGCTCGTTTCTTTTGTCAGGATCCTGTTTCTTTGTTTCACTGCGATAATATCACAAGATTCTGACCTACAATTTCACTATAACGGAGAAATCACTCATTTGTGGGTATCAACACCCAGGGGAACTCTTTCTTTACTACCATTATTCGAAGTACCGATCTGTTGTCTCTAGCGGTTTACTCTTTTTTACACCTAGTATGTTTGTTGAAACTATGGCTTCGTTGCTTTGTTCATTAATGGTTTAAATTTTCTTTAGTTAGCGCCACACCACTGTTCATAGTTTCTTCCTTTTAACGCACTATGCGACTTTTTCCAGGGAATACTTATTTGTCCTTACATTTATTAGCATAGTTTTGCTTACATTTACCCGGCCCGAGCTCTCTTATCACTCCTGTCTCCCTGTCAACGACAGCTGACATGGATTTTGCACAGAACTTCCTCTACCCACCCACCTCTCCCGCTATCTCCACTGTAATTACTGCTAGCACAAATCTTAAAGGTGATGGTTTGGTGTCTATCTTCAAATCCTTTAGAAGTTTCACATCAGTGAGCGATGAATGAGCTCCCGCATCAAGCAAAGCGTTGGTTACTATGGTCCTATCGATGCCTTTTATTCTTACTGGAATGATCCCGAGGGCCACCTGGTTAGCGAAAGTGCTCGTTGAATTAACTGCGGCGAGTTGCAAAGTGGCAGCGGTCACCCTGGCGTAATGCAGTACGGGGTAGTGAATAGCATGACAGCCCTTAACTCCACACAAAGTCAGTACCGATATGGTTGATCTTAAAGCAACAATCACGCAGGTTATTGGTGGACACTACATAGGCCCGTTGAGTGGCGTCTAAAGATCGAAACTGTGGACACTGATTCATATATTGGTCGGTAGAGCAAAGTACACAAGATTTAGCGTGGTTCCACTGCTCCTTCTACTGCAAACGGAAGTGTACAGGCTCAACACTTTAACACGAATCCAGTCTACATTCCGCAGTGGCAGAGCTACAAATTTGGCCTGTGGATTGTGGGGAGCCTGTCAGAGTGAGCCGAGTATGGTCGGTGAAGAATATGTCAAAGACGCGGCGGGCAGTTCCTAGCCATCAGCAACCTCAGGGCTGGAGTAGCCTCAAGGAAGTAAGCTTTTTAAATGCAGACAACTGCAGCGTCGGACTTTTACTAGGCTGAAACGCCCCAGAGGCACAGTGGGTCATGGAACAACTGAACGGGAATCCAGCAGAGCAATTCGCTACTCGTACACCAATTGGGTGGATGCTGGTCGGTCCAGTGGGTATGAGGAACTGTGAAAGGGCGAGTATCAACAATATAAGCAGTGAGTCGAACGAAATCTATACTTTAAAAAGGTTTTTAAGCTGGAATTTGCAGAATGCAGTAGTTCTCGCCTCGCTATATCAGTGGGTGCGGAGGAAAATAACTTAAAGGTGGTCGCTGGTAACGCTATGGCGATCCAACAGCCGGATCAAGCTGAAAGTGAGCGCAAAGTAAATAAGTTACAGTGCATTCTTAACGAAGCTCTGAATCATCTTCAGGCGGACGAACAATGGTTCGTTCGGAGGAAGTACAACAGCTATACTCCGCCTCCTGTAAATCGTAGTGAGACTGATGATTTGAAAGAACGAGTAAAGGAATCTGAACGCCAGCGAAATTTGTTTACTCTGGAACTGGAAACAGTGCTGAGTTATGAAAAGAAGCAGCGTGCCAAAACATTTGGCGATGCGCAAAAGGTGTAATGGCGATTTGGCCGGTTTCATTAAGCGACTTGAGTTAATCCCTAGCTAAAAGGAGGAAGCGACGAAGCAGTTAAAGAATTTCCGTATTGCTGGTAGTGGGATGCAGTGCGAGATGGAAAATTCTGTAGGTTATCGCGATCACGGGCTCAAATTCTTTCGAAAGTCAAAGAAGAGGCAGTATATAAAGAGTCGGAAATTGAAGGTAGGTGGCCTACTTTCAGGCTTTGGTACGCGTAACCCAAAGGGCATGTGGCCAAAGGGTGTTGTCGAAAACATCAACAATGGAACCGATGGCCTCGTACGGGAAGTAACAGTTAGGACTTTCAAAAGAGTTTGCGAAGGGATGTAAACAAGTGCACTTTTTAGAAGAGACACCGGAGGAGGAGCACGCTGAAGCAGCACCAGTGGAAATCGTCGTGAGAGTGTGAATTACGTATTCACAAATTGCAAATTTATCCTGCTTTCCCTACTCGTCAGTATATGTACATAATTTACTTTACCTTCGTTGTGCCCTTTGTGCATAACCACGCGGGCTATAAAGCACGACCGTGACAGTGGTTTATTCGCATCGCGGTTAACCGAAACACCGTCCTAGTGGCTCATAATCACACGCTTCACCGCTGATGTGCTGGCCACTGCCCTCTGTCTCACCGTTGCACCCCGTTTACCGCTGATCGGGAGTACAGAATGCTCTGATGGTTTCGCCTTACTGTTGAGCAACACTGAGGCTACATCTACAAACCTAGTCGTAAGTCATTTATGTACATTTAAATTTACTGTTATAGAACCACGTTTACGATTTCCGCTACATCGAGTTTTGCTCCTTTTGTCCTGGGAATCAAGCCCTGCGTCAGACTAGGCTTATAGAGTGCAATATTTCGTTTACTGGCACTTACAAACTGTACCCGTCCTGCCCAGAATACATATTTGTACGCTGTCAGCTAGACGTATTCCGGTGTCTGCGTCGTTCGGCTAAGAGCCAGTATTGCGTTCGTAGGCTAGTGTTACTTCCGCATGTGTAGTCTTAAACAGGAGTGCGATGTTTTCGAGCATGCAACCCACAGTATTAAGGGGCAGTGAGTTAATTTAGTGGCGTGACACATCCGACACGTCGTAGCATTGTTAAACGGAGATTTGTGGATTTTTATAGGTTGAACCCTTGCCAGACGTAAACCAACCACGTTTTGAAGCGCAGCCGCCAAATCATTTGCTGGAACAGGATCAACCCGAACCACTCAGGCAGCCCACAGAAGTGGTTACGGGTTATCAGATGCGGCGCAGTCGAGAATTCAATGGGACGTCTGTAATCTTGTGTTTGCCATAACTCCAAAGACCCAATTTTCCCGATGCATTCTTGTCGTATCTATCTGGTTTCCCCATACTTCTCACAGGTTATTATTATTATTATTATTATTATTATTATTATTATTATCGTGGCGATGTTAACTCTGGCAACTGGATCCATCGCATTTGGTTATTCAGATTACAATTGCTTAAATGAACCTAACGAAACAAGTGTGCAAGAGCCACATGACAGAGTCACTGATATAACACTGACCGCGTGTCGACACAATATTCTGAGAAGGAGATTAACCATGGAAGTTTCGCATACCATACAACTTGCTAATGCAGATGAATGAGGAGGTGAGGAGATTGATAAACGAATCTCGTCCCGGGTGTATTTGGCGCAGAGTTTCTGGCGAAGTTCAATGTGTCCCATGGAAGAGGAGATGGTGGCATGAAACCGATTCATAGGTAGCAGCATTATCGGCTCCAAATAAAGTCCCAGTGACCGAGAATCAAAGTAAGTAGCGATCCGCATTAGGACTGCGTATCGCAATCCAACCAAAAGACAAGTACCTGAATGAACCCCCAATGAGTGACTAATCGTTAGGACAAGCGTTGTAGGCTGCAACTCAGGAAAGACTTCAGCCGATAAGCTTTACGTCCTGGAATCCAGCCGTTGCGTTGATATCTGTACCGCAGGAATGCGAACAAGTACGAACACGGTCATGTGCTGTGAGCAACACAACAGTTGTACGTATGTAATCATGACGTTAAGCCGGTTCGTGCTGGTAGGCAACGGCAACAATAACTTATGCATCAACCAAGCACAGATTGCCCGGTAGGAAACTTGTACAAGGACCACCAGTTAAGACGATGGCTCGCAACTGTGGCGTCTTTCTACGAACCCAGTGAGGTGATTGTTTCAAAAAGCAAGACGAGGTTATTTTAGAGAAGTTAAATAGGTGTGGAGACAAATTGCAAAATATGGAAGGTGTTAACGAAGTCAATTGAAATCTGCCAAGGATGAAAAGATGGCGAAGTTAACGGAACAGTGGGAACTCACGCATCAGCAAGTAGACCGGGTGCCGGCCACGCACCACTTCATCCACCTGACTGGTCAGCGTCCGTTGTAGCGAATCGGAGATCAAATGGCACGCTTGTAAAGGGGTAAAGGATGAGCCGGACTCATCCGGCACAGATTCATCATCTGTGTCCATGTGTGCGGCGAGCCAACGCTGCAACGTGAACAGAGCTTCGTCACAAAACAGTCTAGACTTTTGTCCGACTGTCCTAAAAATGGAATGATGAAAGCTTGAGATGCCAAACGATCAAAAACAACGGGCGAAAAGTAGTGCAAACAGAAACGCGACCGAGTGTGTCTAGAAAATGTGCAGAGACCATTCACAAAAGCCTTCTTTAACTCATCGTTTAAATGTAACTACTCTAAGCGCTGTAAGATGGTACAACCAGAGCCACTGTAGTTATGGTACATGAAACTGGGATTAAAATGCCTAGTTGAATTGCACCATAAGCGTGTATTCGCATAAAATATCACTATTCCCTTCAAACAACAAGACAGATGTGCAATTAAGGATACAAAGGACAAACTTTCGGTGTTTAAAACGAAACTAATGTTTGAAGAAAATTCTACTTAAACAGATACACCGAGATCTGGAACAGTCTCCTTATTGAAATAAGAGCACACGAGTCGCAATAAGTGTTTAAAAGAGCAGTTACAAAATGCCTGGCGGTGCAATACGTAAAAAAGGTTGCAACTAAATTGCAATGAAGAAATGCTATTTGAGTAAGGAGCTGAGAGGTGAGTGTTGATTACAAATATACATAAAATATGTTACCTGTAATGTATTTACTTGGCTGTGCCCTCCTGAAGAGGTGGGTTGAAGAAACAGAAAGTCTACAGAACACCCTCACTCTTCTTTGCCTGACCTCTTTTCCCTACTTTACTCGGGTAAGCCTGCCTCACAAACACCAAAAGGTGTGGACTGCAAAGGGAATTACAAATTGAGATTCAGCTAACCATTTCTATCTCCACTCTTCATATTTGGCTTACTCAGTCACACCTACCTTACAGCCATACAAAAAGTGTATGGTGAGAAGAAAATGCTGACTGCATGCATCCATCTTCATCCGCTTTTACCATTCGTTTTTCTCTTACTCGGCAATGCTGCCCTTGTTGCCCTTATATAAACATGTCAGAGAACAATGTGAAGCCAAGGTACTCTGCTTCCAACATCATCCCATTTCAAATATTTATTTCATTTTTCTTCTTACCGACTTACGCCTAGTGTACAGTCAAATCAAAACGTTTGAGCCAGTCGGAAAATGCCAACCACGTTCGCCTCACACATAACAAATAAATCTCCCATTCTTTCTGTCTCGGCTCATACAGTTGCTGAACTGAAAACGAATAAATATCCCCCATCTTTCACTAGTTATTTTTAAAACGCCACAATGTGTAAAAATGTTTAGCCTACATCATATGCTATGTGATATACGTATGAGTACAGTTTTAATGTTTCTCTTATCACCACACAATTGCTCCTCATCCTTCACCCAAGGGAAAGAAAACAGTACACGGAGCTCTCCGTCAAGACGTCAAGAATTATAATGGAACTGGAAAACCACGGATTTTAGAGACGAGATTTTATTTCTAACTGACATTTAGAATTTGCTGTATTATAGGAAACAACTGGGAAATGGAATGTAAACTCGAGAATATGCACTATTATTAGTAGTATTATTACAAAGGATGGAGAATTAACATAGTTGTGTCAGATTTGAACTCGGTTGCGCACCTTCGGAATTCATTGAGCTAGACTGGACAAATATTTCTTAGAACATTAGGGTCACACATACCAATGGCCAAAAGTCGGATGAACTCGGTCCTAGCATCCACTTTAAGAGTGGAATTAAAAAGGATCGATGATCCTCAGCCATTGTAGGCAACAGTTCACGGGGCACAAAATGAGTTCGACCAGTGAGGGCAAGAATGCCAAGGAGTATTCGATAATGGGAGAGCAAAAACTTCGCGCTGGTCCGCAACCGCTAGATTAAAACAACGCAGCTCCTGGAAAATAAAATACAGGACTGCTAAAACAGATATGATGGATTGCCATTGCGGGCATATTATTGCATACCATCGTTGGAACTATGCTAACTGTTGTGATTATCTCAATACTGACTGACTGATTGACTGAGTTAAATTGATATAAAATCTCGCTCTGAGTGGTTGTTTGTTCTGCCTATCACGCAATAATAATAATAATAATAATAATGCATATTCTCCGTTTTACAAGACATGTTAACTCTGTGTCTCCTGATGCAATTGCTAAAGTCGCAGAAATCGCCATGAATCTTTCACTCCAACCTACAACGCCATTTTGGACTGATTAGAGAAATAGACCTGTGTCAGACCTCTTGAGTTCGTTGAAAATTTCTATTCCAGTCATTTGGATTTAATTACCGACACAAAGTCTTCAACCAGCAAGTAAAATAATACAAAGCTGCTTCGTCACTTGCTCGGGGACGAGGGACAGCGCCAGTTTGATGACCTGGTAATCCAAAGAGGCAAATCAGTTCCGGATGCATTTAACGCTCTCGATCAAATTTGGGGTCCCCAAATGAAGGTGTTTACTGAAAACCACGTGTTCTCCAAAATGGAACAGAAGCCCGGTGACACGCTGAATGATGTTACTACTAAGCTTAGTTGTGCAGTACGACCGTGCAATCACTGTTCTATCCACTAGGAGAAAATGGAATGCTGACGCAACAACTGATCTCTGGAGTTACCGATAACCGCATACGCGAGATTCGAGTAAAAGAAATCACCAGAACTCTAACTTGGGATCGAACCCGTGATTTGGCCATAATAAAAATGGAGATTGCACATAACTCCTTCGAGTTATGTGCAACTAAACCAATCAATGTGGCAAACATAAAGTCTACGCATTAGTTAACAGGAAGTAAACCGTCCTGTTAACGTTGTGGTAGTGCCTCTCAAAGCAAAATTTGCCTCTTATCGAACCGGCAGTCTCAATGCAAAAACTGTGAAAATGTTGAACACTAGCTGTTGCCGATCTGAGCACAACATAACTGTAAGGTTCACCGGTCGAACGTCGAATGACGCGTAGCCAAATGATTCCGAAATCAAAACGTTTGGATTACAATATATACGGTACTAATAAAATACACACAGTTAGGTAAAGTGGGGCAAACCTCAATTGTTCAGGGTCCCAGTGTATCACCGTCAACAAAAATGCAAGTAAACGAGCGAAGAGAAAGGGTGCTGTCAATTTCACAGCTCGAAGCAAACCGCCAGAGAACAAGTAAAGTGGCCGTATAGGAGTTGGAATTTTAAGCAAAATCACTAGCCAATCACCATGGCCCAATAACAAAGTGAGCAAAGTTTATCGGTGAACGTCAGGCACACACGTACAAGACCGTAGTCTATGGTCAACGGGTGGACTGATAATCGCTTAGCATGCGTCCACATTAGTACAAGGCCATGGACGCGGCGATATCAGATTTAGTGAGTGGAACAAAGATTGCGGTGGAGACCAACAAATGAGGGAGTCAACGTGTAATCCACCGGATAAGAGTAGAAACTCGTGAGAAACTGAACAGTTATCAAGGCAAGCACATGGTAGTGGGATAACTGGTAAGGGTATATGGAGCAAACCGGCGGGGGAAGTAACATCAAGGGAACAAACCTCTGTGTTATGTGAGGGTATAGACCGGAGTGTAGGAGTAGCCATCACAACAACGAGAACAGGTCATTTGCAAGGAGCAGAAAGTGCAGCACGAATGACGAACGAGATCACCTCTCTCCAAAATTCCTCTGCGCATTTGTATCTTGAAGGACTGGCTCCACTATGGCTCTCACCCTATGATGTTACCTTCCGTGCGCTCACAGCTGCTAGAGGCTTGGGAAAGCTTACACCACCGAGAACCAAGAATGAAAGAAGAAGCTGTTCTCCATGACTCCTAACGCGTGCCCCTCTGTGGCGTCTCCTTTGTCATCAGTGCGTTTGCATGAAAGCCGTGTCCATGACTAGCACCCTGCACTCATAACGAGACTGCAAAGCTGCTATCCATGGCCCTCTAGATGGCATAACCGTGTGATATCCGTCCTCACTACTCCTGAGACCATCTTGGCGGAAAGTGTCCGTACCATTGTGTTCCCCAGTTTGCACAAATCTTACTTATTCGAGTACCCCTTGCAGCCGGTAATAATATAACAATACTTGATTTCCTTATCGCACCACTCCGAATGGGCCTGGTATCTTCGGATGTTGCGGTATATATTTCATCAGATAATAAGCGAGCCCTGCTTGGTAGGAACATAATGGCTGCATTAAAAGTAGTATCATCCTTTGGTTGCATGACTGTTTCTTCCAGTGGATTGACATACGGGCAAGAACGCTATCCGAAGATTTTCAACCATCTGTCGGGCGAATATCATGTGGTGCTCATCGCGTCAAGCTAAAACAAGATGCGAAACCTGTTTCCATTAGTCAACCTCGACCGATTCCGCTTGCGAAGCGTCAAGCTGTTTCAGCAGCCTTGCAGGGCATGCTAGCAAACGATCGATTGCACCGAGTGGGTACATCCGATGGTGAGTGTTGTGAAAAAAGACGGCTCAGTCAAGTTCAAGTTCAGTTGGGACCGGAACGATAGGTTAATCCCGTGAATGTTCCTTCATTTGTGTATCGTCGGATCGGGAATTGACAGGTGTGCTTGAGATGTTGAAAAGCCTACAACAGAGACCGCATCACACCCTGTCCAACCAATTACTGCCCACATTTTCCTGCCCAGCAGTCTCTGCCACGCCGGTTTATGTGAAGGAAAATGGTGAAGGGCAAGATAAGAAAACAAGAGGAGGAATGTCAGCTAAATAATGATAACACCAAGGTGAGAAAATTAAAAAAAAACGAACGGAAAGTTGAAGATACAAGTCGCTTAGGAAAAGGGTAAGATTTGGTACTGCCACCCAAGATCATCTAACTGACGCTCGAAACCTTCTACCGTAGACTCCCTAACCACGTGCGCCGGAAGTGAGTTCCATCGTTCAACAAACTCGACGCGACAAGCGAGTTTCCGTCCTTACCCGGTCAGAACGCTGTATGTGCAGCTTCAACGGGTGACCTCGGAGACTAGGCAGCTTGGCGGGACAATATAGTCAGGAGAAGTTTGGACCGATCTAACCCGTTAGGATACGGTGAGGATCAGGTCTCCTCTAATTCTGCGGTAGTGTATTGAGTACATACCTA